ACTCGCTTAACGGATCTGGAAAGCAAATTTGACCAATTTCGTCACAATGTGGTCGAGCAAATTACAAACACATCAACTATTTTATCAAACAAAGTTTCAACGCTTCAATAAAACATGTCCAGACGCATCGGCGATATTCAAACTCAGAGCCGTCAATGGCACGACACCACATATGAAAAGCTAGAAACATATGAGCATCAGTGAAACCATATTACTTCTGATATTCGTGATATCCGAGCCGACATTGAATAAATTGTCTCTGCTCTCTCTCATTGATGGTGACACCAACAACCAATATTGAACGTTTAATCAAGGAACGGGCATCTGTGCCCACGTCTCAACCAAATACATCAACATTCATCGATCAATCTTCACCTTCATGTCCATTGTACAGTCCGTTACATCCAACAACGCAGAACAAAATTTACTCACCATATACACCATCAATCGAACCGTCCCTACCAATGTCGCAAACAATTCTCATACCACCGCCGGCAACAGCTCCAATATTTCACGGCAAACACTCGGAGGGTCAAACACAATTTCTTATCCGTATTCAAGAATACGCCGAGACTGTAAATCAATGGGACAAACAGAGTTTACTGCACGGTATTTCGAAATTTCTTCAAGGTACAGCACTCAAATGGTACTGTCAACTACGTCCCTCTCACCGACGCCCTCAAACATGGGTCGATTTCGTCGAGCTTTTTCTTGCTCAATTCAATTCTCCAGTTCGTGCCGCATGTCAAGAGTAAGGACGGTACGAATGCCGACGACAAGAGAACGAAACTATTAACGAGTTCCTTGTCCGTCTTCGTGCGATATGGGCAGAACAAAAACAAAAAAAAAACGAAGCTAACCTTGCCCGATACCTCGTTTGTAAGATGCGTAGCAATCTATTCGACGTGATCAGTATATCCTGAAACGCTTCGCTCGACGAGATCATCGCGGAAGCGCAAAAAGTCGAAGAAATTCTTTACCGACGAGTGAAAGAGCGTGGGTGTGGGTGTGGGTATGTGTGTGTGTGTGAGGTGTGTGGGTGGGTGTGGGTGTTCTTCTTTGACCTACACCCACACCCACCAACACAGCCACACCCACCCACACAGCCATATCTACCCACACAGCCACACCCACCCACACAGCCACACCCATCTACACCCACACCCACACCCATCCACATCCACCCTCACACCCACACCCAACCCACACCCCACACCTACACCCACCCGCACATTCGAGCTATCAATAAAAATGCGCTATAGAGGGGGTAGTTCTACGAATATTTATGGAATTTTTCACCTTCGGGTATCAAGTGAAATTTATTTGGAATCAGAAAACTCAGCTTCATCTTCTGTAAAAATTACACCTCATTATTTCCAGTTTCACTTAACTTAAACTTTTGTCTTTAATTCGATGATTCATGCTTCTGTGATAATAAACCAATACGTGAAGCATGACGAATAGATAGTGAGATGGTCAAGAAGATATCTCAACATGTTGAAATATCGCATCAGCCAAGTCTAATGAATATGAGAAAAACACTGATATTACAATTATCCTCATAGCAGTCGCAACTTTGTTCTTTGCTGATTAATTATCATTTTTTTCTTTGAATTGTTTTATACGAGGAAAGAAACAATGATAGACTATCAACGAACTGAATACTGTTGGCATTGATAGAGAAATCATCAATAAAAAGAAAGGTTGTGCTGAGTCAAAGATTTTTTGACACATTTCGTGTCGTTCTGATCAAATTTAAAATCGATTGAGGAATGAAATAACGAAATAAATTAACGACAATGAACATTACTACTGTTACAGATCAATTTTCAAAATTCAGTCAACGGTCTCGACATTTGCCTGCACAGCTATAATAACATGGCCAAAGTTTTTAAGGGCTTGGACGGTACTTGTCCATGACTGCATCTAATTTTTCATTTGTAATGGCTGGATTGACTTTTTGAAGGCAGCTTAAAAGATGCTGCTTGTTTGAATGCACTTGAGCTGAAGTCGGTGTGCTACCTTGGGGAGCCGGTTTAACGTCTTTGAAGCAGATAACGAACTGATCCGGTTCAATATCTAAATCGTGTGCGATGCTAGCCACTGGACGCTTGGGATCATTTTGTAACAGGATGGGCGAAGCAGCGGCAGCTAGGATAACGAATGCAGAGACTAGAATGTAACGATCCAATTTCATTTTATCGTCCGTGATTGTGGGTGGATTCGGTTTTGACGATTTTTTTGTGTTCGTATGTGTGTTGTTCCTTTATTTTTTGAATGAAGGTAATTTATTTCTCGTTTTATATTATTTTTTTGCGATTGTACTGTTTACTTGCATTTATAAAGAGAGAGAGTAAAGTAAATGTAATTATAAGGCAGGTGTTATTGACCCAAAACCCTTTGATGTGCACATAATTACATTAAAATAACAAGTCATGCGAGCAGTTATACGACAAACACAAAAAAAACTTTAAAAGTATATCGAAAATAACTGCATTGTGATAGGCCATCGTACACTCTCATGTGTTCGATTGCGCTCAAATTGCGCGTAGTCGATTAATTATAACACAATTGCGCACAATTACAGCGCATTGCGAGAAAAATTTTAACGTTTGGTGAGAACTTGAAAATCGACTGGAAAATCATTTCTGGGGACAGCTCCGTTTTAGCTTTATTATAAAGAAGATCGCGCGACAAACTATAGCGTACCAACAGTTGAGATATAAAGTGCTTGTTATCGTGGGAAAAATCGTATTTTCTATTGCTTCTAAATTGCGCCACAGTTGCGAGCGCAATCAGCGCACTACGCGTAGTAAGTGTGCACAATTGTGACGCAGTTGACGCCTAATCGAACACATGAGGATGTCGTTATATTGAGAGTAAGATAAAAACGAAAGTTCTCCAAATCCATGAAGACCTTATGATAGCACTTCTTCAATAAATATGACTATCATCATTTTTATGTTCTAGTTGGGACAACAACTTAAAAGGTCGATCGGTTGTATTCTTGTCACTGAGAATCAGAAATTAAAAGACATCAATCCACAATAGCCTGAAGCTCAATTATGCCGTACGAAGAGCAGTTCCAGTGATAATAGCAAACGCGTAAGCGGTGGCGTCTTGCGGGTGTGAGTGGGGTGTGGGTGTGGGGTGGGTGTGGGGTGGGTGTGGGGTGGGTGTGGGGTGTGGGTTTGGGTTGGGTGTGTAGGTGCGGGTGGGTGAGGTGGGTATGGGGTGTGGGTGCGGGTTGGGTGTGTGGGTGCGGGTGGGTGAGGTAGGTGTGGGTAGAGATTGAAGGAATACTCAGACCCACGCCCAGAGCCACCACATCCACCCACACCCCACACTCACACCCTCAAAAATAAGAATAAAGATATTTATACAATTGATAATTTTAAACAATATAAAGCAATTATTCTCATTTCTGATTTTATGCATTGAGAAATACAATAAAGGAAGTGAATCGATGTTTTTGTTATTATCAACAATAATTTTCTCTGTGTATTCGCATTGATGATGATGTAGAAATCTTTCGAGTTTTAGTTTGTCGTACGACAGAGTCCAATATAATTCCACTGATTAAGACCTCCTTTCCCCCTCAAAAATTGATCTCAGCCCAGGAACATTTAAACGCCATGAAATCTTCAGGATATATTGGGGCTGTTGTAGAAAAGTTGTGGTAAAATTTTCAATCCGATATCATGATGTTTTTAAAGAGAAATCCTGGGTAGGCAAAGGTGAAAAACAGCTCATCTGGCAACTCAAATTATTAATCAGTTGCGAACAAATCATTCCAAGTGTTCAATCACTATTTCTGCAAAAAATAGTTATTTGCATGCTATTCATTGCACTGATTTCAAACATCAGAGTTTTAGCTACTGATCTCTTTCTATCAAGCCTTGTTCTTTTCATCATATGAGGTTTTGGATCTATCAATAATGCGTAATTTGACGAAATATTTACCGAGATACTTTGTTAAAGATATGCTTCCATCTTTAAGTTGTAAGCAATGAAATATTTATTTTTGATTGATTGTAATCAGATACCTTATGTATATGCTTCCTTTTGTTTTCCTCTCAAATATTTCACCCGTAAATTCTGTTTTGAATTTTGCTTCATACTTTAGCAAGTCATATGAAAACAGGAAATATAATTATAATAACAAACTAATTCTTCTTTTCAACATGATTATTTGAGTTTAAACGGATTTTTTATGTCGAGTAGATTGAACTCGCATCCTATAAACAAATATTACGGGTTTATCGAACAGACAGCTAATGTATGTTCACCAGGTTATCTAATGGTATAAAAATATTTTTTAGCTTTTTGCTGATCAAATATAATAACTTGTTGTACCAGACGGCAGAGAACAGTTCAATGGGGATATTTGTCAATATTTAAATATTGATAACAATTGAATCATTTTTTTCTACAAAAAAAGTACCCTATTATCAATTCGCATGCGTACTGGCAATGTATTTATGTTGTCAGGTCGTAACAAGCAGTATAATTGACTTGTAGAATATGCAATTTTTTTTTCAGTAAGCAATTCTTGTTTGATCCGTTTTTATTTTTATTGGATAATTTTTTTTCAAATACCGCTCACTAAATAAACAGGCAAATCAAATTAATAATATAGCAAAAAATTGTGCGAAACCATCCATACAGAATTCACTTTCACGAAGTATTGTAGGGTGAACATGTATTATCTTGATAGAAACAGCATTCATGTATGTATCTATAATTATGACGTATGACACCAATACTGTGTTCCATTCTGAAGTCATCAACAATAAGCAAACAGATACTTAGCGAAATCGATCAGATTTTAGAAGTAGAAAAAAAAATCGTATCTATATTTGAATGTTTTCTGTTAGTATTAGTGCAAATAGGATAAATAAAAATAAATACCAGTGAACTTTACCATGCGATTCCTTATTAAATACTAATGGCAGGTTTATTTATTAACAGAAGAAAAACAGAAAAAATGAAATATGTGTTTAACGAGTGTCGGGTGTAGCATCTGAACCTGGCTTTTCAGAATCACGACCAATAACATCTTTTTGTTTGGGTGGTTTACCAAATGATACAGATCGTAATTGATCCATTTGAGCTCGTCTAAGTCGATTATATGGTTCTAATTTAACTGGCTTGCCTGTTTCGAGTGATTGTTTAATAGCATAAACGACACGTACATCCAATAAACCTTCTTCTCCATTTGGTTCAGGTTCAATATTTCTCAAAATACAATCTGAAAAATATTCAGTTTCACCACCGAATTGATCGACTTTCGGAAAATTTTTCTTTTTTTCTTCTTCACCACCCTCACCAAATCGAGTTGTATATGAAACAGCTTTATCAAAATTAAATGCTGGATCTACGATAATTTCACCTAGCAAAAAAAAAATACAATCAAATTTTTCAGTTTAGATTTGATTCTTTTTAAAAAACAAAAATGAATACCTTGTGTACCAACAATACGATAAAAGGTAGTTAATACTGTTGAATATCCGACAACGAATGATGCTACTCGCTCTCGAGGAAATCTCATATTAACAGCAATTGTATCATATTCCATTTGTAAATTATGTTCAGAATTTTTTAATCCCATAGCTTGAACTTCAATAGGTTCATCTCCAAACATAGTACGTGAACCATTAATTGGATATGGACCCATATCAGGAACAGGGCCACAATCAAATCCTACAAATGGGAAAAAAAATCGTCACATTAGTTTTTATTATTATTGATTTGTGAACTTTAAATATTTCAAAAATTAAACATACCATATTTAGCACGATGATTATCTGGTCGAAGATTTTGTGTATGCATTGATATAAAAATACGTGGATCACCAAAATCTCCTTTTCGTACTCGTTCGAGTACTTCTAAATTTCCTGGATCACAATGAAGTCGATAAGCAATCATTAATTTGGCACCACTTTTCTTTGAAGCAGCTATCATAGCCTCACATTCTTCTACGCTACATCCCATTAATTTTTCACATAAAACGTGATAACCTAAACATAAATACGAATATAATCATATGTAATACTTTTTATTCATCTATTCAATAGACCTTTTTCAAGAGCAGGAACAACATGTTTTATATGAAGAAAATTAGGTGTAGCAATGTAAAGAGCATCACATTCATGATTGTCTAACATTTTACCAAATTCATCATATGAATATGGTATTAAATTGTATTGCTTTGCTAATAGACCACGTTTTTCGGCATCATCACTGCATAATACAGTCATCTCTAAAATAATCAATCATTATAGTAAAGAATAAATTTTTCAAATCATCAAGCTTAATTATTTCTTATTCAATTTATACTATTGGAAACATTTATTGAAATTCAAATTGCATGTCTAAGTTTTCAATTTTTTTATGAAGATAAAAATTTGAAGACATCAAAACATTTAAGAAATTATTGTTATATATTTCAATATATGAATTTTAGCTGACTTTAACTTCTAAGGAATGAACCTTGGATTATTCTAATATAGCTTTTAAAAAAATCATTCGTATCTTTAAATTAGAAAAAAAAATGATAAATATATTACCTGAATTACTTGTCTGTAGAATGCCAGGCATGAAAGCACTTTGAGCAATTGATCCTGCTCCAACAACAGCATATCGAACTTTGGGACCGGTCGGTTTTCGACCAATCAACGAATTAACAGTATCTTTTATTACATCCATTTTTATGAAGTATGTTCAGAAATTAAAAAATATATATATAGCAAGAAAAAACAAAGGGTAGATACTAGGCATGAAATGTCAGCATTGACCTCAGAACAGAACGAAAGAAAAAGAATGTATACATTGTGATCTATGCATGTAGGAAGATATAAAAAAAAGTCAATGGAATGTATGCATTGGTTTGCACGTGTTTTCAACACGTGTTCTTTCATCAACAAAAGAAACGATAGCAGTTCACTAAGGGTCGTCAGTGCATATTCCAAAAAAAGACGGATGTCTTTTCTGTACTCAATCAACTCTTAATAAAAAACACCTCCTAGGTTATAACAATGAAGATATGGAGTTTTGATGATAATGAAATGTACCCTTGGAAAAGCTATTTACTATTTCATAGACTGATTAATCAATCGATATTAAACTTAGTTCAACTAATATTTGTATCAAATGATTTTGTTCATGAAGATACACATGCGAAAATGGCTACGTTACTTAATTCTTTTTTCGTTCGTTCTGTTACAACTTGTGTCTTTCACAATCAACAAAAGAAAAAGTAAAAAAAAACACAATAAATAATCATTCTAGAAATTAATATACGAATGATCGACAATAAAATCATAGTTTCTGATATTGTATTACTATTTATCCATATCTTATTTTTCTTCTTCTTTCAATATTGTCAAAACAAATTGTAATATTCGAATCGTCATTAAAACCAAGAATATCTTAAGAACACAAAAAAGCGACTAAAGAATAGGATATTTAATTGAATATCAAGACAAGATGATATATTGTTACTACATGTTTGTCCATACATGAAGTCAATTCGTACTCTGAAGACCAGAGAATCAAAGTGTACTGAAAGTGCAAAATATAATTATAAAATAACCTAAGCAATCTTTCTTATTTTTCTGAAATGGTTTCGAAATATGTACTCGATGGCTTCGAACTACGTACTACTTCTCATATCTAGTCCATGTTCTAAATGACTCTCATCTATCGTATTTTCCTTCATTCACTAAAATACTTCCTTTGCGGAATCCTGAGAATGACTTACAGTATGTGCTGTTATATATTTATGTTGCGATGAATTTTCCATTTTATTTCTTTTCTCAGAGTAGGTTCAAACACTATATAGGTAAACAACATTTTCTTGTCAACTACTAGAAGTCTGCATCGTAGACTGAATGTTTTGCTCAGCATTTTCTCTCCTCTAAAATGTCGTTTGACAAGAAGATAATTTTGAACCAGGAGTTCAACTCGAGTTGTTCTTCTAGTCTTGTTAGTAATCATAATCACAACCGTGGCTACGATGCAGAAAATGATTGGCAACACATAGTTCATTTGATGATGATATCGTAATGAAGAAGGAAATAATATCACATAAAAATTGATACATAAAAATCGATATTACTGAATTAGCAACGACACATCTTCATGTCGATAAAATATTAGAATAAACATCAAATAAAATACTATGAAGAAACCAAAGGAGAATAGCAGTCAAACTAAGTAATAGAGCTAATTTTCATGAATTCAATTGTCTTAATTGACAAAGATTGCTAATAAATTCGAAGATAAGATGGAATACATATTGCTTACTTCGAAAAATTTATCAGAAGAACTAAGCAATAGCATGAAACAATAAAATGCATTGGAATGTCTTATGATAAAATTTGCTTATTGTTTTTGCTTTTAAGAAAATGTGATAACTGTGTTGATAAATCTCATAGATAAGTGTTACGTATTAGAGATCGAAACCGAATCGAATCTCATGGAAATTATCTTATTCGTTTCGGTTTCTGATACCGAGCAGGAGTTAAATATAAGAACAAGGATCATATATAGTTCTACGGAGTTGAATATAAATGAACACTTTTTACTCTAGTAAGATGATTGAGAAAGATAGATGACAGCTCTCAGGAGAATGGGAACCAGTCCGATCGGAGAAAACCAGATTTTTGCTAGTTCATCATTATAAAATTTTTGTTTGCAATGAAGAATTTTTTCTACTGGAAAAAAGTGTTTTTATGATATTTTCAAGTCAGAAAAATATGTTTGCTCTGAATCAAGAGAAATATATATTTACATCTTTGTGTTAGATTTGTTATTAACTTCTTTTTTTTTTCTTGTTTTTAAAAATTAAGATGAAAAAAAGATTTGACCTCAATAACTAATTTATATCGATATTGTGCTTGAAAAGTCGACGCACCTTTTTATAAAATAGAGTGGGGATTTTCTGCTAATTTATTTTAAATATAATTTATTGGGAATTGCAATTTATTTTCAATTTAAGATTCTTAAAATCTTTTTGTATTTATCGAACTTTGGTAAATATAAATTGATCACCACTAGTTCAGATTTCAGCATGTGAATATTCAATTTTCCTTGGTCACCATTTTATATGAGCAGACACTTTTATAATCGATTATTTTCGACGGATTTTTGCCATGTTGGCTGTAAAATTCATCCGATCACTTGCTGATCAGACCAGACCGAACAGATTCTTTAACCGGCCAAAGTTCGTGGCCAACAAGCGAATCGTAAAAAAGCTCGTCTCTGTCGCATACTTCTATTTTTTCAATGACAATAAAACCAAAGATGTCCCAGTGGTCGAAAATCTGAAATTGTTTACTTTACTTGCCGAAAAACTAGGACTGCAACTGCGCAACCTTACTCACATGAAGAAATGTGTTCAGACTTTGCTATACTAGAAAGCTTTTTTTTTCCATTATTTGTTTCGTTTTATTAGAAATAGATTTTCTCATATATGCTTTCATTAATTAAATATTAGTTTCAAAATATTTATTTCTTCACTAAAAAAGGAATATAATCAACCTTGCATCTTCTCAAGTGTCTTTTTTTTCGAATTGTTCATTTCCTTTCTCAGAAAGGAATACATTTTGTTCGAAAAATTTTTTTTTTTCGTTTTTTTATCAATTCTTAGTAAGAAATGCAATAAAAATCTTTTTGAGAAATCCATTGTACGAATTCTGTCTCATATTCCTGAGGGATAAAATGTGATAGAAATCGTTTGTTTTTCAAAAACTATTTTCGAAGTTGTTTAGTTTGTTCCTATAGGAAAGAATGAGATATCCTTTTTTTAAATTATCTCTTTCTTTAAATTTCAAAGCACTAAATCACAGCAGTGCAAAATCGATAATAATTGATTACAGTAAATTATAATCGGTTTGTAGGCATTTATAATCTGATTTTTTCCTTGTTTTTTTTACATCGGTTGTTCGCAGCAACTCGAATTATTTCATAGTGTTACATGGGTAAATGCCATACGCTAAGTCTTTCATTGTATGCAATCTAATGGTTATATACATTTTGTTTACCTTCATAAAAAGTTGATAGAAAAGTTCTATTTATCACTACTCTCTGTGGAAATTTCATATCTTGCATCACCGATTAGCTTTACAATGGGAAACAGCTTCATACTTTTCTGACCGATTATTGCCGTTAAAAGCCCTTGTTTTTCTCGTTTGAGAGCGTAAAATTACAATCGATTCGTTTGTTGTTTTTGTTACGAGTAGAAGAAGCAGAGAGAGGTAGAGAATCACCGTTCGCAATATTTGCATTCTAAGCAACCATTCGAAAAAAACTCTTATTGATGGCATACCATACTCTTACTTCTCTCACCTATGCATAGTCGGTATGAAGAACACCGTTTTTATTTGACATGTGTACATTCACAGCAAAGAAAAACAACACTATTTTGTTTTGAAGATCAATTGCAATTGAAAGAAACATAAGAACAACAATTCTCCAGTAGTGACACGATCATTATATAATGAATCCATCAAGATATGCAGTTCCTATGGATGCTCTTAATCCAGAACAATATGGAAGACCCATGCCATCGGCCACTGATATTTCAGGAGGTATTAATATTCTTCAAAATATTAGCTCTTTATTGATCAAACAACAAGCATCAGTAGCAGAAGGTACATAGAGAATTAATATTCGTCATTGCTAAACCTGTCTACATTTCAGCAATTCTTGGAATTGCCATGCAGGGTAAATTCGAAATCTTCACTGATACAAATGAAAGAATTCTCCATGCATTTGAAGGTTCAATCATCAACTAAGATTTTGATTAAAAAAAAATGAGAACTACTCCTAACTATATTTTAGAGTCGAGCTTTTGCCAACGTCTCTGTTGTGCAAGCGCTCGACGTTACACATTACATATCATGGATAATAGACAACAAGTGAGTTTTTAAGTATACTTTGTTATTTTCAGCCAATGATGTCGATCAATCATTAGGAAATCATACGCCTTCATCGAGAATTCACTTGCTGTTCGGGATGTTGTTGGTGTGCTTACTGTAAAAGTTGTCGACAAGAAGTAACAGTTGAAGCACCGCCGGGTCAAGTCATTGGCACCGTCACACAAGAGTAATTAAATTTTATTCGAATGAAACGTGTCATGAAAATCTTTTTTTTTTTTGGCTTTTTAGTGGCAGCTGTTGGCGAATGCACTATGTACTAAAAGATGTTAATGAAAGATCTACTTTGAAAATTCTAGGTCCTCGATGCATCTGTGATGGAGCGTTGTGCTGTTGCTGTGAAAATAAATTTACTGTGAGTAGTGATTGTTTTTTTTGTCTATTTTCAATTCTTTGAGCTCATTCAAATTGTGTTCGACTCTTCTAAAGAAAAAAGTTTCAGTAACTGAGTGGGTGTAAGAGGACTTGATTCATTTCGAAATTGTATCCTTTTTATCATCAATATCAAAGCTGATTAGCAATGGAAAGAGAATATAATGCAATTCCTTATAGAAAATCACTCAAGAAACTTTCTAACAAAAATAAAAAATAATCTTTGAAGAGAAATGCTTGCACCAAGAGAGAAAGATACATGTTTTTGACTTTATATGGGCACTAATTCCATCGAATTATTGATCTACTTGTTTAGTGAATAAAAATTTTTCTCGAATATCAACAAATCGATCATAATAACTGATTAGATAAATCATTTAGTTTGTTTTATCTGAT